AGACGATAATATCAGCAAAATTTTCAGAAAACGAATAGAACAGGTGTACTAGATAATGGGTGAAGACGAATATAAAACCTCGGAATATGGCGATGTTGGGGTAGAAAGCGGTGTTTGCCACTATAATTTTTTTTCCCTTCAGCAATCAAAGCGGAGAGTTTCAACGCCGGAAAGGAAAGCTCCTTAAGCCTCTCTTTCGCCCTTTTCCTGACCGACGACCCTCGCATTTGCATAGTCTCCTTGCGATTTGTGTCTCTGTCGATCTAAATCTATAAATCTATTTACCTGGTAAGTCTTCGAAATTCGAGCAAGTCGTGATCCCCGCAGCCCTGCCAATCCCTCGACATGCGCATCCTCTCGCGCCGGAGCCTCACCCTGTGCGATACCATGTCCAGTATTCCCGCTGTCGAACGAGGTCATTGAGTGCTGGATTCTACCTCGCGATGCTTTTACGAGACCCCGTGGCAGTTGTGAACAGATGGTTGCATTTGAGGCTGGTCGGCCACTGCGAATGCGACCTACAAAACCTCAATTGGCCAGCATGTCTGGACATGCCACGAGGTGTCTATATCATCGATATGGAAATTGGTACAAATGCACAGTACTTGCGCTCAGTACTATATCCTACACATGGTTTATCCGCCGATCGGATTTAAAGACGTGGAAACGGAGGGCCTGCGCTAGCACGGTGCTTCTTTCCTGGTGCTGCTCATGATCGACACCGAGGACTCTGCCTTTACCGCGCCCCATCACTCTCCGCTGCGAAACACTCACGATATTGCTGGCTGAATATGTTGACTAACAAATGCTGGACCCCGCAGATCATAGGGAATAAATGATTTCTAACTCCCAATCCGTTCGACCTGGTGTGATTTCTTCGCTCCGCCGCAAACCAGACGACCTTTGACCTTCCCTACTCTGATACTCCAATTCTCGACCTTTACTAAAGACCTTGTCTTCGAACCCTACATACCTACCAATTTTCCCAGCGACCCAGACTTTCATTGGGCGACTGAATTCCAATATGGCGGAGCCGACGGACTCGAGCGCCCCGCCTGGCGAATCCACCAGCCCTGCGACCGAACCGAATGCGCCAGCTATTGAGACAGCCCAACCTTTAATCAAGAATGAGCCACTCCCAGTGGAAACGAACCAAACCCCCGTGGACACAAGTCAAGAACCGGTAGCCCCAGCACAACCAGCTCAGCCAGCAGAACCAGCACCGTCAGAAGCACCGGTCGAACCAGCAGTATCAGAGGAGCAACCAATAACAGAAGTGCCACGAACATCCGAAGTACTAGCCACACCAGAAGTGCCAGCAGAACCAAATTCGTTCGCCGCAGGCCATTCACAGGATGCGAACACGTATCAGCCAGAAGAAGCCACTCAGCCAGCACGAGCTCCAGATGTGACCTTACCGTCTGTTGAATCATCACTTCCAGCGATTGATCCATCTCTTCCAGCCATGGACACATCAAATGGCTTCGATGATTCAGAATTGCACTCCTTTAATGGGTTGTCTTCAATAGGTTCATCTGCGCCCCCCGATATGTCACTGCCTGCCATTGATACAAGTCTCCCGTCTCTCGACCATTCCTTACCAGCGATTGGAACCGACGATATCCCAACAATGGATGGCCATGATTTTGGTGACAATAGTCATTTGGACCATCACGATTCGAATGCCGGCATGGCAGACTCTACAGGTGGGCATGACAATGGGGCTGTGAATGGTGCATCTCACTATCATCCGACCAATGGTTCGTACCAATATTCGCATAGTCCTGCTCAGTCACAACAACCAGGAAGCCAGCAGTCACCGCAGACGCATACCCACCAGTTTCAGGCACAGCCGCAACATTATCAGCAGAACGACATGTATCACAATTCCGGTTCCCAAGGACAGGTGCCACAGGCACCGATTGGATCGCCGCTCCCAAATAATATGCCTCCGATGGCTTCTATGGGACAATACATGGCTGGGTATCCCTCCAATATGGGGAATGCGCAAATGCGATATCAACTCCCGGGGGATCCGAACAAGATGTTATCAGGCAATAGACACAAGAAAGAAGTCAAGCGACGCACTAAAACCGGTTGTTTGACTTGTCGCAAACGAAGAATCAAGGTGAGCGCAAATGTAGTTTTCGCGGGGCGGAGTCTCGCTTGTGCCCGCCAGACCCCGCCATTTATTTTGTCCGCTTAAATCCACCTCCCTCTCAACGTCCAACTTTTTTTTCATTCAGCTTTTCGGATATTTGGGATATTTTCAACTTCTAACTCTCTTTTAGTGTGACGAAGCACACCCGGTCTGCAGAAATTGTGTGAAAAGCAAACGTGAATGTTTGGGCTACGATCCTGTGTTTCGGACTCAAGCATCTACACCATCGGCTATTCAACCAGCCCCTAACCCTCCTCCTTCGCTGGTTGTCAATCCCCAGGGGCCTTCTACTTCATCAACGCCTTCATATCCTTCATATCCTTCTGCGCCTCCCGGGTACATGCCCGCTTCGTCTCAGCCATTCGCACCTTCCCTTCACTCTGAATCGCCCACTGCTTCTGCCGACCAACACGAGCACGGAGCTTCTATTGATTCTTCTTTGGCGACGAGCCATCAATCCAATCATACAGAAATGCAGAACACTGGCGTACCACGTCAACAGGGCTCCGAGCCTTCATACAAAGGTGAGTTCATATAATTTATATTTTCTGAATCTGCGCATTGCAGCATTGCGCATGGTTAGCTAACAATTCCTCTCTATAGCGAAAAACCTATATGTCAATGACCTCTTCTCTTTGAGAGGCATCGCCCCTCCTCCTCCCCATCCCGTCGGAACTCTTCCACCCGGCCGCCTTGAAGAGATCCAGGCAGTTTTCCTGGCCACCTATGCACCTGCGATCGACAAGCTTCTGGAGGTTCGCTGGTATTCTGAGAATGCTCTCTCATTACTCATGGCCGACGCCCAGCTTATGGCCGATTATTCGGCCTTGATCATCGCGTTCAATGAATGGGATCTTCAAGACGGTGAAACTCTCGCTCGTCTAGAGAGTTTCGAGGCCTCAATCATCTGGAAAAGCATGTCGTTGTGTCGCCAGGTACCGGACGGGGAAACTGGACAACAGGGGCGAGACTGGAATCTCTGTGTGTCTTGCGCACGGTTAAACGTGGTCGAGGCATTGCTTACTTGGAACCACCTGGACTCAAATCCCTTGTCCCGAGAGCTGGTCATGGATGCTGCCAACCCGCCGAACACTCCAGATCAGTTCCAGAACCGCCAATTGGATTTCTGGGACCAGGTCGGAGAATTCCTCACACTCTATGACAACGAAGCAAGCTCGGCCAAGCAGATCGACGACACTCTCGGTCGGTGTCGACAATTGCTGGACACATACGAGAACCGTGACATCATCTACTCCATCTCCGTCGCACGTCACCTGGGACAGCGCTGGGCTGACTTCCCCAACAGCCTGCCTAAGGTAGGCTACACCACCGAGAAAGAGGCGGGGACCAGGCTCTTCGTCGCACAGAAGTTCCTCGAAGAAGAAGCCGAGGGCAAGGGCACGACACAGGTCTACAAGCGGGTTTGCTGCATGGCAGTCCGCTCATGGTGGGTTGCTCGCGGGTAATCCACTCTATCGTGACCAAGACCGCACCCGAGCGTCTACATTGCCCCTCATACTCTTTCATACTCCTTGCATAATGAGTTCCTAACCAAGGGCCATTACACCCTCCTCTCGATCCTGCGTCCTCACGGGGTTTTCATCTTGTTCTTTTGCGGTCGACAAAACAAAAGCATCATGGTCAGGCGTTATGTTTCTTTTGCTCTGAATGATATGATCTCAGTTATCTGCCTGTTTGCATTTCGTTCTTTTCTTCCTTTTTTTTTCTTTTGGGGGTTTAAGGGACTGGCCGATGAGCGAGCAAAGCACTACGGCGTTTTGGCCTTTTCTTCCCCCCAACATGTGGAATCATGATAATTGTACCAGTCTTTTGTACATATGGACCGGATAATGTCTGTCACTCGAAACCCGCTCCTTTGTAGTTCTTTTACCTCTTACTGGGATTTCATTAACAAGACATCACTTCACTTGATATACAACTTGTTTGATCTGACAATGTTAGAAATAGTAAGCCTTTTATTGCAGCTTCAGCTGTTTTATATATTAACTTTAGCTTCACTTCGACATGTACGTAGCCATCTCACCTTCCTATTTGGAGTACTCGCCTAAGCAGTTACAACTTGGATTTTCTCGGATCTTGTCAACATCCACCCCATCCTCTCTTCCCCTCTTATATATATTGGAGATTATATATTTTTATATCTTTCAATGTCTTACAGAGACCTTTTTGCTGGTATGGCTATGCCGTCCAAGCAAAATGGAATGACCACGCTACATCCAGAATGACTTGATGGTCGGTACAATCATCATCTCCGCTCGAGTGGCGTATGTCTGTAGACCCATCGAGCACCGTGAAGACGCCATCTAGGAGTCTAAAGTTTTGCGTCGGATCTTTCCTGACCCGGATCCTGTTTGACGGTCTTTATGTTTTCGAGTGATGATTGAACAAAGGATCATCGGAAGGGCTATGATCTGGTCGATTCCTAACCTCATTTTGCACAAGTGGCGGTGAGTTCCATCCTCCCCACTTACAACAAGAACGGGAGCGTTAGTGATAGCCTATAATAGCGAGCCCCACATAGGTGAACAGGTCTACGAGACAGATATACAGCAACACCCAAGAGTTAACTGTTTCAGTACATACCACAGGTGTACAATCATAGTAAGATATTGCCGCCAGGAACGAACCGTGGTGCGAAGCTATTGGCTGCTGCTATGACTTGCTGCCTGACACGCAACAGTACACAGCTGAGTTTGAGGGCGAAGGTGGGGGGCAGTGCATATTTTCCTCCCTATAAAATCATTATATATGCCATGAATATCCAAAACAAAAAGAACCAGCACCCCTTCCTCGAAAGAACATCGTCAAATTTTCAACAATGGTGGCTCTCGAGTCGGTCGGTACCGCGGCAGCAGTGCTTCAACTTGCCAGCGCTGCGGTCAAGGCCTCTGTTAGTCTCCATGGAGCAATCACAACAATAAAAAATGCTCCCAATGAGATACTAAATCTTGGCAACGACCTCATAGCGTTAAGTTCGCTTCTGAAAAACCTCGAACTTGCCCTAGAATCACCCGATGCACGGAGGATTGTCGACCAAGATAAGGCGATCAGCAGCGCGATGGAAATTTTGAAAAGCCTTATCACTAGTTGCGAGAAATCTTGCCGGGAAGTGAAGGAGAAACTACAGTCTGCTCTCCAGGGCGGGAGACCCAACAATGATCCGATTGATGACACCCCAGGAAGTGACCTGTTGAGCTCCGGCCTACTTATCAAGGAAGGCATCGATATCCGCCGGTCTATCGGGTGGCTATTTAGGCGGAGAGGGATATTTGCTGCCATAGAAGGCTTGCAACAGACAAAATCCCTTTTCTCGCAGTCTATGGGAAGCCTCACACTGTAAGTGTTTGACCCTCCTAATATTTGTGACCGATTTACGATCCTTTCTTACGATCATCAGTATTCTTGTCATCAAAACCGTCAAGTTGACCAGTAATGGGGAGGCTCCGCCTCAAGTGGCGTACCCGTTTAGTGATGATGCTGGTTCGGCCATTATGGACTTAGTGAACGCCCATCCATCTCCGGCGGAGCGTCTTTCGGTAAGCAAGAGCAGCTCGGTTCTCTCCCAGCCACCTACACAAGAGCCAATATCCGGAATGCCTGACCCTCACATGACCGAGGAGCTTCTCGCGGCTGTTAGGCGTGGCACGATCCCGGTGGTGGCAATCCTACTGCGAAGTGTTCATGTTAATGCCCAGGACGCCAGATACGGACGCACCGCGCTCTCAGTTGCAGCTGAGACTGGTAACGTTCAGATGGCTGAACTTCTCCTTGAGCATGGAGCATCTGTACGTACCCGGCAGTATAGTCGTAGCTCTTGGGATGACGGTCAGTCGCCAAATGAGACGGCAGGGCGCAATCCACTACACTGGGCAGCGAAGAAAGGGAACTCAGATATGGTTGAGCTGCTTCTAAAACACGGGGCGGATCCAAATTCGACCACTAGCATTGGGAACTCGGCCCTTAGGTGGGCATGTGCTAATCACGATACACGATCGGTCCGGCTGTTGCTCGAGAATAAGGCCGATGTAAACCTGCGAAGCTTCTACGAGGTATGTTCAATTGACGCAAAACCAAAGCTAAAAGTTATGTTCCTAGTCTTACTGACCTTAATATAGGGCTGGAGGCCTATCCACGAAGCGTGCCATGGGAACTCATTTGAGATTGTTCAAATTCTACTCGAGTACAAACCCTTACTTGATGTGAATGTTGAGTTTTACGGTCACAGAAAATCTCCATTACACTGGGCTGTACACTGCCGCAATATAGATATTATGAAAGCCCTGCTTTCTAATGGGGCAGATTCCGACAACAATGGTATGTTTGAGAACCAAACACCCTTACACCTTGCTGCTGCTGCGGGCTGGCTAGATGGAATCAAACTTCTTCTGGATTCAAATGCCTCAATCAATCCTATGGATGCATTTCTTCGCGAAACTCCGCTTCACAAGGCAGCTCGCAACCTTAAGGTGGAAGCTTGTCAGCTGTTGTGTGCACGTGGTGCGGATATAGAGAGGAAAAATGTCGATGGTCAAAATTATGAAAGCATTTTGAATTGCGCACGGCAATATCCAGATGAGTGGAAAGTGAATCCTAATGAGGTGTATTTTCTATGTACTTAGATACCAGGAATCGGTCGGGGTGCTTGTTGTCGACCACGACGATTACAATGCAGTTGAGCAAGAAGTTGAGCAATTTTTAAGATTGCTTTAAACTTCAACTCTATGCTTCTTTTGGATGAAATAGATGCTGTCATAGAGCAGCATACGTCTCACCACGATATTTATGATCGCTTTATGGGGTATGCATAATCAAAAAAATCCGTTTCCCCACAATGAACCGGATGATCCAGTTGATGGTCGAGCATCGGCCAAACTGTCCACGAAGATCACACTGGGATCGATCACTCGCAAGGTCTCTTGGCCTCAGCCCACATCAGTTCGCCGACTTGCGGGCTTCATCATGGCCATGGCCGAGGCTCAGCCAGGCAAAGCTGACACTGGAGACCGTCGAGACATCCGTGTTACTCTGGCTCCAGCGTAAAGGCTTGACGACGCAGGCATTATAGCGGATTGAGAAACTCGCCGGATCTCTCTCACGAGGGCTTTTAATGATTGTTCATTCGCTACCTCGGAACAATGGCATTTGAAGAACACATATTGAAAACCCTTGCACAAATGGTGTATGGATCGAACATGATCGAAAAAGCTGGGGCTGGATACGACAAGACCTATTCATCCTTTAAGAGGCCAATGGACCCAGACGCTCGAGCAATGCGGAACGGCCTGCTATTCGTACCCATCGTAGCCACCATGACTAGATCCTCGAACAAGCCAATCGAGCTCGTCAGTGCCGTTTGGTGGAAAGCAAGTGAGTGGTACGCGGTCGTGGAGTTACTCTTCCAAGTCGCAATAGTGGATCGAGCTCTCGAGGTTAACTCTATATAAGTGCTCTCTAGATCGCTCTCTATGCTCTTAGGCTGATATAGGTTAGGATCTACGATGCCTTAGACAAGAAGGTGTAAGGGTTGATATATCAACTAGAGTAGAGAGAAATCTGTCTATAATCGGTTTTAGGGACATACCTCACTCTAATAGGTAGAACTTACCAGGTCATCCCTTTAGTAAGAGACATATCCTTTTTGATTCCCAGATAACCGGCCAAAAGCGCAGCCGCAGCCTGGTACATGTTGGCGACACCATCCACCGATTTGATCTCCAAGTGACCAGGCTCGATCTTCCGCACTGGCGCTTCGCGATTCTGAAGAAATTTAGATTCTCTGCTTACTTTTACACTTGGGCGAATCAATGGATCAATTCCCGTTGACATTCACAAATACAACAAATCTTGATCAAATGTCCTTAGGCGTAGAGTGACTATCATGCCAAAGGACTACCTCATAGAGGCATAATCAAGAATCTCAACCCGAATCCTAACCTCTCCTACTTCACCTTGAAACAAGAACCCAACATCCCTCGTTGAATCAACCAGCTCCACCTCCCTACGCACAAACCGGCTCTTACCAAGACATTCACCCGTTGTCTCAAGCCCAGATCCAATATCACGTCGAGCCTCATCCTCGCTATCCTCATCCCCGCTATCCTCATCCCATTCAACGGCCTCATCGCCGACTTCCTTATCCACCGGATCCCACTCATCCGTCTCCCAGACCAGCCGGAACCCAAACGCCGGTAGCCCGAAGAGACGCGACACCAGCGCCTTAACCTGGTACGTATCAAATGAGCCAGGAATCTCCTTGACTTGGCTCTTGGATTTGTCGTTTCCAAGTGGCAGACGGAACGCCATCTTGACCAGTCGCGCTGCTACCGACCGCGGATGGATGACTCTCGCGTCTGAGGAATGGGATACAGCTGCTCTTGTGATAGTCGGCTCGACGTATAGCTCGCACAGCTCACTATACCGCGGGTGTGTAGCGAGAATGGAGGGTTCTTCCTCCTCGGTCGTGGCGGAGAGTTCTTTGCCGATGAGGGATAGGTAGTACATCTCTGCGTTGGAGCGGTCTTGCGGTGAGATGGTGCTGTAATTTAGGGTGGTGAGGGAGGATGGGAAGCGAGATAGGGTTAGCATGAAGGCTTCGTCCGGGGTCATTGGTTTGGAGGCTTCTGTGACAGATGGTGGGAGGGGTGGTTGATCGAAGAGGGGGTTTGCGGTGATTCGGAGGGTGGTTAGGCCTGGGAAGACCGTAGGAATTTTGTTGAGGATGGTCCAGGAGGTGATTTTGTTGCGGGATAGATCAAGGGAGCGAAGAGTTGGCGGGAATTGGAAGTCTAGGGTTGTATCTGTTGTGTCTGTGGTGTTTTGGTTCGCGGTGCTGATGCAGTTCCCACGAACCGAGAGGTGCTCCAATTTTGGAAGTGCGCCGAGATGTCGAAGAGCTGATATTGAGGTGATCTCATTGTGCTCGAGGGTTAATGTTGTGATAGTGCTAGGGAGTGGACAAGTTATCTCAGAGAGCTGGTTCGCAGATGCCGTGAGAGATGTCAAGCTAGGGAATCGATATGCAATGGCAGCAATCTGTGTCCGAAGTCAGCTTTGCGCCAGATTATCTGTAATGGATAGGGCGCATACTTCATCCCAGCTAAGTAGGGTTTCTTCTAAATGTAGCTCAGTAATCCCCTTGAAGGTCAGGTCATCCTCCAACGCTTGAAAGCGGTTGCCACTGTTCTCCAGTTAGCTCTACTATTGACAAGTTGACCAAATTTGACACTTACTTCAACTTCAGCCGTTTCAGGTGCTTAAGCTGATTGCAAATATCCCAAACATCGCGCCATCGGCTCAATAAGCTTCGACTGAGATCAAGTTCCGTGATCTTGGGACAAGTTTCACCAATCTTCCATGCTGTCTCACTATGTGAGACTTGATCCTGGTCGTAAGATGCAAGGACCCCAGCAACCCGTAAACCATCAAGCAAGACAATGCGTAACTCTTGGAGCTCAGCGAGCTGTTTCCGAATTTTGTCGAAGCCAACTTCTTCAACAACCTTGCCGCTAATTTCAATTGCCCTGCCTCGAGCTGTGGCTCCACTGTCCACAGTATTGCTGGCAAGGCTGTTCTCAGACTCAGGAGCATACTTCTCCCGCAGGGCTTCTAGAAAGCTTAGAGGCTGATCTGAAGGCCTGGAGGGGCGAACAAAAGACCCCGCGGTGGGATGTTTGCTTTGGCCTGAAGCCAGGTTAGCAATAATCCAAGTTTATAAGTGAAAAGTTCATACATGAGAAGTATTTGACGCCTTTATGCTCTCCTGAGTGCTTGCCTCGACTTGCATCGTCCCATTCGACTCCTAACCAGTCGCCAGTGGTCCCTTGGACGGTGCCCACATAGCGAATAGTACTTAAGTGACCATCAAACGACCGGCGTTGGCCTACAACTGGGGAACTCATAGCTCAAGCCAGGCCTAAGAGGTAATTTGTTCAAGTGCTTTGGTGAGTGCTACTTTGTATTGTGAACATGATAGTTAGTTATCCATGGATCACCCAGACAGCTTATATAATCAACGGCATTTCCAAGGTTCAGACCTGCCCAGGTGGGCTTCACTAGGATTAATGGCTGAAGACCAGGCACATTCCATGTAATACTAGACAGAGCACTGCGCATATAGTATGTAAAGCCTCAACTCAGCTAGCAATCCTTTTTCGGAAGATTCTTTTACAAAGCAAGCCGATGAAGGGGCCTATTTTTGCATACAAAGTAAAGCAATATATCTACTAGGAAGGCGGTCTATCCGTATAATTTGGCCCAATACCTTGGAGGTGCCAATACGATTTACGTTTGGAGATACAAAAGCTAAGACGATATTTTCATGGTGGAAGAATGAATCCATAACTAGGTATTTCTGCCATAACGTATGAAGAGCTAGTTAGACATGTATTATGCATTAAGGCCACAGCCGTAAGAATTGCCGTAGCTGATGGTGCTATAATTGGAAGGCGGTCGCTACACTACGGATACCGCCAACGGATACCGCCTTCGCAAAGCACCTGGATAGTGAACTCCACCAACTTTCTTCAAGCTACAGCGCCGACAGCATGGATTATCAGGTACGTGCACCCTGACCTGGCGCATTGCCATATTCTTTATCTAGAAGCAGATTATGCTAACACCCCCCCCCCCCCCCCCCCCCCCCCCCCCC